TCTCTCAAGATGAGTGGGAATACCTAGATCTGGAACAGAGGGACTTATATAGAAATGTGATGATGGAGAACTATAGCAACTTGGTCTCCCTAGGTAAGGTTATCTGTCTTCATAATTTAGATTGAATTTTCTATAACATCAGCTTTCTTCTCTGAAAAGTTAAAAATTTTTTTTCAAGAAACTATCTGTTCTTAAGGAAATAGTTTGTTCCCTGTTCTTAAGGAAATAGTTTGAATTTTATTTCTTTGGAAGGGAGCACTTTCATTGCATATATTCATCTTCTTCCTTAGACCTTACTTATTGATGAAGGGGCTGGATTTGAAATGGAGATGATTTGTGGCCTTACCAAAGAAAACAGAATTTACTTTGTTTTTGAACTCAGATATTTTGAACTTTAGATGTTTTATTACTTGTGTACCTCTAAGGAAAATAGCTAAACCATTTCTTGGTTTTTCTCTACCCAAAGAACACATGTGGATAGAGATAATGGTTCAGTGGGTAGAGTACTTGTCTAGCATGCACCAGGCCCTGGGATCAATCCCTCACACCACCAAAAAAATATATATCATATATGATATTTATATATAAATGATGTACTGGTAAGTTGCATCACCAGGATTTACTTATAATTTAAGATAGCTCATTCCTTTAGTTAATAAATATATTTAGTTTTGTCTAATTATTGAAAGTTAAAAATCTAAGAACTTTGCTTTTTTTTTTTTTTTAGACAGGGTCTCACTATGTATGGTTTAGGGTTGGTTTGAATTCACTGTGTAGCCCTGGCTGGCCTCAAACTTGTAGTGATCCTAGTGTCACCCTTCTGAGTGCTAGGATTACAAGCATGTGCCACCACACCTGGCAAAGTTTGTTTTTAGTGTTGTATCAATATCCTAATAAATAAGAGTAGATATCTTTTGAGACACTTCTGTTTCTCAGCAAAATAACAATAATTTATAGCTAATGAAATGCATATACTATTATTAGGCAAGGTTTAGACATGGATACACATTAATGCAATCTTCATAATAGTCACTTTTTAGGGGGTTATTAGAGATCACACAGGGATTTTCTATTTATAAGCTACATTCCCAGCCATGTTTTAAATTTTTATTTTTTAAAAACAAAGTCTTGCTAGGTTGCCTAGAACTAGGCCTTGAACTTGGGAATCCTTCTGCTTCTCAAGTAGCTGGGATTACAAGTACACACAAGCACACTCCGCAGATAGGCACTATTGTTATCACTGTTTTATAGATGAGGGCAAGAAAACTTGGCCTCGATTATATAACTGGGATGAGGCAGAAGCAGGATTTGAGCCATGTGGTGTGTGATCTCAAGCACTATTTCCTCTGAAGAAAGAACACTTGTATCCTTTTTTGTCTTTTTCTAACCTCTATTTATTATGTAATCTTAATATGAATGCTTTTAAACCATGTTTCCCTTCTCTGCTTTGAAAGCTTTATCACATCATTTAATCTATAGTGTATTACAAATGTAACCATGATGAACCAATAAAATTTTGAATTATTTTCCTCTAAGCAGGATGCTTCATATCCAAACCAGCTGTGATTTCCTTACTGGAGCAAGGAAAGGATCCCTGGAAAGTTGTGAGGAAAGGAAGAAAACGATATTCAGGTGAGTGAGGGCCGATCAGGCTGAGGGAATCACCCAGCTAGTTGGGAAAAAGGCATAATATTGTGATATTTAGAAAGCCATTTTTAAATGTTCTTTGCCCAAAGGCAAGTGTCTTCAACCAGGGGAGCAAATAAAGGCTTGGCTGGGGATACTTTAAAACCTACAATGGAGCGAATAAAGGCTTGGCTGGGGATACTTTAAAACCTACAATTTTATTCTCTCTCTCTCTCTCTCTCTCTCTCTCCCCCGCTTTTCTGTTCTTCCCAGTTTTCCTTCTCCTGGAAAGGATGGGGTTTGAAGTTACTCTCTTTGCTCACTGTTAACAACCATTTCTATTTTGATTCCATTGGTTTATTCTTTTGCATTGTCAGATGGATAGATGGATAGATAACCTGAGCTGGGCACTATTATAGCTGTCAATACAATGATAAACAAAACCAGTAGCATTCTTGTCCCCATGAAATTTACCTTTGATAGATGAAATCTAGCATTTATAAATAAATGGAAACTAGAATGTCAGGTAATAAAAGAATGCTATGAAAAAAATAAGCAGAGTAAGGAGATAGAAAATGTACGCTGAGAAGAACATTGTCTTGTTCCTGATTTTAGGGGGTATTTTAGTTTTTCCCCATTTAGTATGATGTTGCCCATTGATAATGTCATATATAGCTTTTATCATATTCAGGTGTGGCCCTTCTGTACCTGTTTTCTTCAGGGTTTTTTTTTTTAATAATGAAGGGGTGATGGATTTTGTCAAAAGCTTTTTATGAATCTATTGATATGATCATATGATTTTTTAATCTTGCTTCTGTTCATATGATGTATTTATCAACTTATAAATGTCAAACCATCCTTTCATTTCTGAAATGAAACCTACTTGATCATGATGTATGATCTTTTTCATAATGTGCTGCATTCTATTTGCTGATATATTTGCTGAGAATTTTTGCATCTGTGTTCATTAAGGAGATTGGCCTATAGTTTTCTTTTTTCATTGGGTCTTTATTTGGATTTGGGATCAGCATGGTACTGGCTTCCATAAATGAGTTTAGGAGCACTCAATACTTTTTATTGGTACCAGGGATCGAACTCAGGACCTTGTGCTTGTGAGGCAGTGTGGTACCACTAAGTCTCTGGCCCTCCATCCTTTTTGATTACTTTAAAGACCTTGAGGAATATTGTAGAATTCTGCATGGCATTCATTGAGTCCCGGGCATTTTTTAGTTGGTAGATTCTTTATTACTATGTTAATTTCATTGCTTGTTATTGGGTTGTTAAGCATATTTTTGTCTTCTTGGGTTAATTTTGATATACTTTTTATGTGTCTGGGAATCTGTCCATTTCTTCCACTTGCTAATTTGTTGGAATATAATTTTTCGAAGTAGTTACTATCTTCGAATTTCTCCATTGTCTTTTGTGATTTTACCTTTTTCATTTCTAATTGTGGTGATTTCTCTCTTGGTAAGTCTGTCTAGGAGGGTTATTTATTTTATTTATTCTTTATTTCTTCAATTCATTGATTTTCATTCTCATCTTTATCATTTCCCTTCTTAACTTCAGTTTGGGGCTGGTTTGTTTTTGTTTTTCAAATATCTTACGATTTCTCATAAGGTTGTCTATTCGAGCTTTCTATGTTTTTCTAAAGAGAGCATTGATTGTGGTGAATTTTCCTTTAGAACTGCTTTCATTGTGTCTCAGAGGTTTGGGCATGTTGTTCCACTGTTGTCATTAAGTTCTAGAAATTTTGTAATTTCTTCTTTGATTTCTTCTGTGACCCATTAGGAGTATATTAATTATCCAGAAGCTTTTGCCTTTTGCAAAATTCCTTCTGTCATTGATTTCTGTTTTCATTGCACCGTGGTATGATAGCATGCATGTGGTAATTTCTATTCTTTTATTTAGACTCACTATCATGAAATTGTCCACTCAGGATTATTCTATAATTAAACCAGCTACAGTAGCAACAGGCTAATCTATTACAGTGGTATCTATCAGAGTAAGCTGAGAAATAACATACCATGAAACCCTGTTTTGGGTCTCCCTTTAGAAGAAGTCCACAGTTATACTGTAAGCAACCTAAGTCTTGACCCATAGTTAATGTGCATTAAATGTGATGGCTATGTCTCCTCTACTGGTAAAAAATGGAATTAAACAGTAAATTTATAGAATTAGTTATCTAACAACCAGGGAGTTGGAGACTGAGAAGTGCCAGAGGAGGGAAGAGAAGAGAAAAAAAGGAAGGGGGAAGTTTTTTGTTTTTGTTTTGTTTGTAGTACGTGGGATCAAACTCTGGACCTTGTGCTTGCAAGGCAGATTCGATGACACTTAGCTAAATACCTGGCCGGGACGGGGGGTGGGGTGGGGGTTGTTTTTAAGTCCTCTGCTATGCGGTATGGGAAGGAAGAAATGGGGTGGGGAGAGCAAAGAATCCTAATGATGGCGAGGGTATGTTACATATTTACAATGGGATAATAGGGAAAAGTGGGTGCAAGATTGGTAATAAGAAATGGGGATGGGAAAATAGTCTATGACTGATAGAAATATTAGAGAAAAAGTTGAAAGGAGACAAATGAGAAAGGTGAGAGGAAAAAAATGAAAAATTAAGAATGAATAAGACACAGGAGAAAGAAGTCAGGTGAAGAGATGGATAAAAGTAGAAAGGATATAAAGGGACAAAGGAAAATTCCCTCATTCCCTATAAACTATACTGGGAGAAAAAAGGCAAGAGGGAGATAAGCACATATAGACACAAATAGACGTGCTTATGAAAGCAAAAAAGGATAAAATAATGGAATAAAAATGGGGCATGTACAAAAGAAGGAAAATGTCAAAGAATGTAAATATTTTAAAAATTTAAAATAAAAATAAATACAATTAAAGAATAGTAAAAGAAACTTTTGTTTTGTACATGTGGCTCTTTCCCTCAGCCCTGGGTGATTATTTTTGTTTTCTTTTATTTCAACTGTACAAATTTGACTTGTTTTAGAAAAAGAAAACAGCATGTGTTTGCTTTCTTATTTTCTTTTAGGTCTGGAGACTAGATATGAAACCAAGAAGTTATTTTCAGAAAATAACATTTATGAATTCAATTTATCCCAATGGGAGATAATGGAAAGAATTAAAAACCATGGCCTTAAGGGTCTCCTTTTAAAAAATGATTGGGAGTCCAAAAGAAAATTTGGAGGACAAGAGGGACCTCAAGAGGATTATTTTAATCAAGTGAAAGACACATCTAAAAAAGTATCCTCTTACCAAAAGCGCACATCTGTTACTCCACATCAGAAAATTCATTTTGTGGAGAAACCCTATGAATGTAAGGAATGTGGGAAGGCTTTCAGAGTGCGCCAGCAACTTACTTTTCATTTCAGAATTCATACTGGTGAAAAACCCTATGAATGTAAGGAATGTGGGATGGCCTTTAGGCAGACTGCACACCTTACTCGACATCAGAGACTTCATTCTGGTGAAAAGCTTTATGAATGTAAGGAATGTGGGGAAGCTTTCGTATGTGGTCCAGACCTCAGAATACATCAGAAAATTCATGTTGGTGAGAAGCCCTATGAATGCAAAGAATGTGGGAAGGCCTTTAGAGTACGAGGACAACTTACTCTTCATCAGAGGATTCATACAGGTGAGAAACCTTATGTATGTAAAGAATGTGGGAAGGCCTTTAGACAGTATGCACACCTAACTCGACATCAGAAGCTTAATATCGCTGATAGAGTCTATGAGTGTAAAGAATGTGGGAAGGACTTTCTGTGTGGCTCAGGCCTTAGAGTACATCACAAACTTCATACTGGTGAGAAACCCTATGAGTGTAAGGAGTGTGGGAAGGCCTTTAGAGTACGACAACAATTAACACTCCATCAGAGAATCCACACTGGTGAGAAGCCCTATGAATGTAAGGAATGTGGAAAGACTTTTAGTCGTGGTTATCATCTTATTCTCCATCACAGAATTCACACTGGTGAAAAACCTTACGAATGTAAGGAATGCTGGAAGGCCTTTAGCCGGTACTCACAGCTTATTTCACACCAGAGCATTCATATTGGTGTTAAACCTTATGATTGTAAGGAATGTGGAAAGGCTTTTAGACTACTCTCACAACTTACACAACATCAGAGTATTCATATTGGTGAGAAACCCTATAAATGTAAGGAATGTGGGAAGGCCTTTAGGTTGCGCCAAAAACTTACTTTACATCAGAGCATTCATACTGGTGAAAAACCTTTTGAATGTAAAGAGTGTAGAAAGGCTTTTAGACTTAATTCGTCTCTTATTCAACATCTAAGAATTCATTCTGGTGAGAAACCCTATGAATGTAAAGAATGTAAGAAGGCCTTTAGACAACATTCACACCTTACCCATCATCTGAAAATTCATGATGTAAAAATATAACAAAATCTAATCAGTCTTATATTATGAACATTCTGTGAATGTAATAATCTCTTTTGCTTCACAGATGTTTTGATAAGGCAAAGTGGTTTTGTACCATTAAAAGAGTTAATATATTCTACCATTATTCAAACCTGAAGCCTCAACACGTTAGTTTAAGAAAAATGAATTTTATTAATATAACAAATGTGGGAAAGACACTTATCTCTGTTCCATCACTTTCCTACATGTGTTATATCAAACAAGACACTTACTGGTCTGTGCTGTAACTTCTTTCTTTGTGAAATGGTGATATAAAACTGACAACAAATGGCTGCAGATCTTTCACATTCTTTTCATCAAGAGGCAGAATCCACATCCCTTCTCTTGAATATGAGCAGACTCTGTAATCGCTTTCTTCAACAGAATATATTAGAAATACTGCTGTGCCAATTTCTTGGCACTGAACTCAGCCTTATTTATGTATTTATGTATTTATTATTTATTTTATTTTGAGATAGAGTCTCACTAAGTTGGCTGAGCTAGGTTCAATCTTGAAATCCTCCTGTCTCAGCTTTCCAGAATGCTGAGATCAGAGTGCCCATCACAGCTGACTTGGGGTTGCTTCATTTCTTAGAATACTGGCTTAAGCCCTAAACTATCACATGAAAAAAGCTGTGTTGCTGAAGAGCCCACATAGAGAGGGTCTGAGACTAACTAGTCAGGGAGAGGCACCTTGCTGAACTTAGTCTTCTACACATGCCAAGAAGGCACCAGACATATAAGTAGAGTAGTTTTGGATCCTCCAGATCAGCCACCAGCCGAACACCACTGAGTGACCTTAGCTAACACTATAGAGAACAGAAGAATTGGCTACTGTGTCCCTTCACAGCAGCCCCCTCCCACCTGTAGAACAAACTTCTTTTCCTACTTTTGATTGGCTCAAACTTGCTCTGCAGAGCTTGTTTCTTTTCCTATGTTTAGTAAATGCAAAACTTTGCTACCATTAAAAAAAAAAAAAAAAAAAAAAAAAAAAAAT